TCCCAGGCCGGGCCCAGGAGGGGAAAACCCCCCCCCCCAAGCCCCTGCTGCTGGAGGAACGTGGCTGTGCCCCCATCCCTGCATCCCTTGGGAACGATGTCCCTGTGCTGGGGACCACCGGGGAGTTCACCCACCCGCAGGCACACCCCCTCACCCACACGCAGGGATTCGCTGCTGTCTAGGAAGGGTTAAGCTCATCCTGCATCCTCCCTCCTGGAGGTTTTGAGGTCTCCATCCCCTACCCACCCCCTCGTCTCATGGGCTGAGACAAACGCTGGGTGCTGACTCTGGGGTTCAGACGTGGCCTCCGCAGCACCAATGCCCGGGTGCAAGGCCGGGGCGCGGGGGCATCTGGGGTTGCTGACACCCTCCCTGCTCGGGTCACGGCTGCTCTGCCCACAGGGATCAAAGTCGGAGAAGAAAGGGGAGAATAAAACCCGCCAATAACCTAGAAAGGATGTAGGTCCCCCCACTCCTCCGACTGTCACTCTCCTGCCTCCTCTCTGAAGCAAGCATTCAATCATTTTTGTCTCAGCAAATAGCTTTTAAGTTCCTCCCGCTCCCTCTAATTTATATTATTTTAATTATTGAATAGCCCTCTCACTCATCGCCTGGAACATTAACACTTCTTTAAAAAGGGACCCAGAAAAATCAAACTCCATCAGCGATCTGTTTTTTCCGTCTTCGCTAACAGCTTCCAGCCCTCCCAGGAGGGCAGCCAGCGCTCTCGGCACGCCGGGCCGGCGGAGGAAGAGGAGGGGGAGGAAAGAGAAGAAAGGAGAACGGCATCAGCCCTGCAGAACCAGGGAGTTTTGGGGTGCTGGGAGGGGAGGCAGAGCTGGGACCCCACTCCGGGGCGGCTCGGGGCTCCCAGGGCTGCTGGGCGTGCGGAGTATTTACATTTCTCGCTGCCGTTTGCTGCGGAGGGGGCTCCTGCTCAAACACTCTCTAGCCCAGGGACGTTGCTGCGGATAAATAAATGCACAGCAAGAGGGAAAGTAATTATCAACTCCTCGGCTTTCCTGCGGCTGGCACGAAGCACAGGAGGGAGAGCCAGCCCTTGTTCCACCACAGCCCTGAGCTCCCTGTTCCCCCCTGGACAGCCAGGACAAGTGTCCCCAGCATGGATGATGTCCCCTGGGCTGGAGCAGAGAGGGGACACGGACATCCCTGCACCCCGTCCACGATAGCTGCC